AAAAAAAAAAAAAAAAAAAACTAACACATCATATTAGTCCGTCTGGGGGAATCTGTCGTTGCGAAAGGCTCCCCAGGCCATCGCGATCATTCTCGATTCGCAGAACGATGTACTGTACGAAATCAACCTCACACATTGTATATGAACCGGACAGCATTTTTGATGATCAGTAAGCAAAAAATTGGGGGGGAGGGGATTCGGGCTCGCCTTGCCAAAGCCCTCGACCCCCTTTGTTGCCTGTCCGAAAGCCGCGACCTACACGGAATAGTCAAAACAACTAGTACCAAACAAAACAGTAGTGGCCAGTATTACATTGTCATCACACAGCTACATCGCACAGCTAGATCTCTATATCTATACGCACGATTTACAAGTTTCAGATGGCGGCATACAAATATGAGCTGGCCTCGAGCAATGCTGACGCCTCTACTTTACCCATCGCGACGAATGATCAAAAGTCTCGGGTTCACGGCTATCGACGTCTTTGCATCTGTCTAATTGCGCTACTTGCGCTCGCAGGTATAGCAATTGTTTCTGCCCTGACAATACCCGACTACGGCAGAGAGCCAGCAGGAAAAGCCGAAGAAAATCGGCAGACTGAAGAATGTGGAACATCGCCTGCAGAGGCCCGACAGCTTGGCTGTGTATTCGACATCATTGTGATGGGCTGGACCCCCGACCGATGCCACGATGGCGAACTGTCTGCCGAGTTTTTGGCAAAGCGGGACTGGAAATTCTTTGCCCACGCCAATACGACGCAGCCTGCTTTGTCTGCGTATGACATCGTGGAGGGGGAGTGGGACAACATCTACGTCGACTACGAATTCCAGCTTTTCCACTGCGTCTATCTCTGGCGTAAGACCCAGCGGGCAATGGTACGGGACTCGATACTGGACGGGTACACTGCTGATCCGCATGTCGTCAATCATTGCGAAGCGACGATTCTCGACGAGACCTTTGCGAGCCCCAGCACGTACGTCAAGTACTCTATCTGCCCTTGGGTACCGAGCGACAGCGGTCGACTTGGCTGGTATAGAGTGGTAGCCGGGAGAAAGGTCCATAGGCAGGCGTGAGATGAATCGTTAGGCTGAGATCCTTTGACACGAGAAAGTAGCCCGGATTTATGGAAATATGTAGCAATGTACAGTATCGGGTGAAGATACAATTTGACACTGCGAAATTGTGCCTTGACCTTCTGAAGTTTTTGTTTCTATTTAGGTATACTTAGATACTCAAAACTCCCGTAGGAATTTCTTCATCGAAGAAAAAGTTGAGATGTATTTGGACAAGCTGCAAACGGTCGTATACCCCGTCTATGCGGGTTGGATGATTCAGACTATCTTCAGCTATTGATACGCAAATGAATTCGAGAAATAAGAATGCAAGCAGTTTCTAGATTTTATCAAAAAGCGTTGAATATATTCAAGTAGCTAAGACTTTGCAAAACAAGCCGACTATAACACGGCCTCTGAATGATTTGATGGTTTTCCCACATAAGAATTGCGCTGCGACGCCCATTCCTGAAGAATCGGATACCAGGTCGAGGTAAACTTGGCGGTATTAGAAACAAGAAACAGCTTGAGCATGGAAATGCATCGTCATACCTTTTGAGTGCACTCACAAGATGGGCCTATACTTTCTGCACGTCGGCCCAGGTCACGACCATCGCTTCTTCAGCCCGCTTGTCCATTGCGACATCATGACCATCGCGTTTCTGCACATCGGCCCAGGTCACGACCATTGCTTCTTCAGCCCTCTTGTCCACTGCAGTATCATGACCCTCGCGTTTCTGCACATCAGCCCAGGTCACAACCATCGCTTCTTCAGCCCTCTTGTCCACTGCGGCATCATGACCCTCGCGTTTCTGCACATCAGCCCAGGTCACGACCATCGCTTCCTCGCCAGGGCTACCGTTTCCGTGCGGAGCCGCCAGGGCAAGTGTAACGAAGGACAAGGCGAGGCTGTGGGCAAGCTTCATTTTTCAAAAGGTATGGATTTTTCAGTAAAAGGTGAAAAGTAAAGTGTGGTCAAAGACAATATATGCCGACGAAATTACAAGCGCACGTTGGGTTGCGTTGATGAAACCTATACTCGGGACATACTCGATCATTTATCTGGCCGTTGAATGAGCTCTCATCTCTCGTAGTTTCTATTTCTGAGAACTAGTCCTTGTTGGTGCCGACCCGCGGCTTCCTGTAGGATGTCAGCAACGCCACTCCATTGGGAAGCCCGCATGCTGCACCATGCATGTATGTAATGTGCTGACAACGCCTCCGGTCCGTCCCTCGCCGCTTTAAGTAGCCTTGTGGCCGCTTATCAGGCGCGCCAAGCCAAGCTCTACTTGCATGAGATGTCTCGGATCTATCGGCCCACTGAGAAATACGCACGCGGGCCAAGATTACTCCGCCGCCGGCGCCCGCCAAGCGAGGGAGCGAAGGCCTCTCGACCCAATGATCAACCACTAATCCTATGTATGCCAGATGGTCCAATTGAGGTAGTCACATGAATTGCAAAATGATAGCTGCTTGACAAAAAGATCCCTTTTTACCTTGCAATATTTTGTAAATTCGATACTTTGACGCAAGAAGCATCCACTTTGTTAATCAGTTGTTAGTAGAGATTGCTGACCGTTGGCGGATTTTGTCGCCCACTTGACATGTTGACTCACTATTCAATATTCCTGTGGGCCGTAGAGCCTTCTCCGACTAACACGCCGCCCTTTGTCCGGGAGGCCGTAAATCCTTCCGTTACTCGACTAATTACGTGGCTGCTGATGTAGCGAAACTCGGCTGGCATGCGGGGTAATTGAAGTGGCGGCTTGAAGGCTCCAAATTGTTACTCCCCGGGCTTCTCTATTTGCATTTCTTCTGCAATCTCGATCTCGGCCAACCAGGCGTCACACAATCTCAACATGGCGACGGAAGGATTCATCACATACAACGGCAACTGCCATTGTGGCCGCTATCGCTTCGAGATTGACGCTCAGGAAATCACCGGCGCCATCACCTGCGACTGTGCCATGTGTGCGAAGAAAGGCTATCTCTGGATAATTCCCGAAAAAAGTGCCTTTCGTGTAATACGAGACGACAACCGCCTGACCGAATTTCAATCTACGTCGCTGCGAGACAAGGTGCGAATAATCTCCAGGCGTCGCGAGAAATGTTTCCCCAGCTAATAAGCACGACATTAGTTTTGCAATTATTGCGGCACTGGGCTCATTGGCGAGCACACGAGGGGTCCGATGTCTGGCAAATTTGCTGTCAATATCCGGGCTATTCAAAATGTAAACCCTTTTAAGCTCGAGTAAGTCTCTGCCAGTTGTGTCAATCACCAGCGTGCCAGTCAGTGTAAGGCTGACAATAGCTAGGCCAAACTTGGTCATGAAACCTACCAACGAACAAAATAGAGACTTTGATTCATTGGCCAAGCTACACATGTCCGAACCTCGAGGGCAGGAAACCGCTTCATGCTACTGCGGCAAGGTCAGAGCTGAGCTTCTCTTTCCACTTTCTGAGCAGGAGATGAAGGAAGACAACTGTAGCTCTTGCATGAGAGTACGTATCACTTCGTATTGAACGCTACTCTTACTCATATTCAACAGACTGCCTATATAGGCGTGTACCCTACACGGGATCAAGTGCGAATCCTCGGACGCAAAGACACCTTTGAGTACATTCACGGAAAAAGGTACAGCGGCGTCTCTCATTGCAAAGACTGTGGAGTTTACGTGTTTAAAAACATTTACGGCCCGGACCCGAGCGTCTTTGACAAGCTCACACCAGAAAGACGCGCTGTTGTGCTGGAGATTTATCACAAGAATATGGCGCTTCAGCCTGTTAATGCGAGAACCATCGAGGGGCTAGATTTAAAGTCGATCAAAGTTGAGAGGTCGGACTCGGGAACGGACGGATATGTACTGGATGATTAGCAGTTACAAATTCTCGGCAAATGCATTGTCGTAACTTTGGTCAACAATTCATGCGGCAAAGTTATCCCCTCGGAAGTGTCTTATATCCCGTCGGAGTGGGCTTAACAGAAGCTCCGCGGGCGGCTAATGACCCAAGACGAGAGGTTGGAAATCTTTGGTGGGCTAAATGGAAAGATGAAGCTGATTCGATTACTTGTGCTAGTCCTCACCAAGATAGTGTGCCATCAGACTCCGCTGGTTCAATGTCAATGATTACCGATGGCATATTACCAGTGTAACGCGCCTGATAAAAGCATTAGTACTCTCCATTGCCATCGCTACATTAGCCTAACTAGTTAGTTAGGCTGACGCCGACAGCGCACGCAGTGTATCCTGTCATCGATTGGACCAGTCTGGATCTAGCTTTCTTCCAGCACCGTCCACGACTGGACATCATCCATAACCACCTCTGCCAATACGTCAGCCATGTCTTCATTCGTGGCATTCATCGTAAAAGTCTCGCGCTGCAGGGAAATGAACCCAATCCCCCTCTTCCAAGCGCTTGTGTGCAATCAGAAATGATAGGATCTTTGCCGAGCTATATTTCAGCGGCGGAAGCCTTCCACAGGCAGCCCAGCAAGCACGACCGTGCAACGACCCAGCAACACAACATTGCAGCAGCACCTAGTTTAATTGACCATGCTTTATAGTAATATATATCTCCTAGATGGGGAGCGATTGCATCCACTTCTTCCTCGTCTTTCCCAATCGGACGTAACGACGGCTAGGAGCTCCGTTGGCAGAGCCTTAGACATGCATATGCATCAACTCGCAGCTTCTTCAGCTGCATTCAGCGGTTATTGGCGTATTTTCAGCTGCTGCCACCGTCTTTGTGGAGGTGACTGTAACATCCACCTACCCTTATATTTCAGCCTAATCCATGCGTGAGAGTATTCGTCAAACACATGTTAGACCAAAACCAATATTTGAGTGGCCATGGCCGAGATATCACATTCTCAGCTCGACGGAGTCGTTACGTCTGATAAGGCTGCTGTAACAGGATTTTAGGTTGCGCTATATCGGATATGACCCTATAAGTCATAATATACTTGTACAATCGCACTTCGTCTTAGCCCCGCCACCTTCTTTGATTGAGAAATTCAAATGAAAGAATACGAATACGATCATATGCAATATCTTGTGGACAATTCCTCCAAAGGGACGAAGCCGCATTGCTGTAAATCACCTCCTAGGAAATATTAGTCCTGTTTATAATGCTAGGCTGCGGTATACGAGCTGAAAGCGAGCGAGACATACTATATTTTGTATACGGTATCAACACCCACGGACTATTGTCTACCATTGGGTTGTACTTGGCCTCTGTTACGCAATATTCTGTCTCTAGACTACTTTATGCGATGTAATGGTCCTTTTTCACCGAAAAGCGTAGGGTGTTACATCGAGCGTCTTGTATAGAGAACGGTCCTGTGGCTGGCTGAACTAGGTACTAATTCTCAGATAGTTTCTAGACAGTCTACATGTTCTTGAGACGAAGGTGCCTCTAACGTAGAAGATCATCCTTAAATGGGTAGACTTCTTTTAGGTGGATTGCGTCAGCCACAGACAGCCATAGTAAAGGTGTCTATTGTAACGATCCGTCCGCTTTCCTATGTGAGTACTTAAACAGCTAGGATTCCCATCAGTAGAAGAACTTGAATGAACAACAGCATTACTCCTCTCTGTTTAGCAAGTTTAGTTCAAACAGCATTAACATTTCCCCTGAATCCTACTTCTCCCAACACTCTCAACAATACACTTTCCAGTAAGCCAACATTCTACTTGACAACACCATAACACGCCACTCACACTGAATCCTTAGAAATGAAGCTCACATACCTCCCGCTCTACACTATCGCCTGCGCTTTCACTACGAATGCTGCCACTGTTGAATTTTACTCGGATGCCGACTGCGGCAATAAAGTCGGAGACCGTGATGTCTGGGACAACAGTTGCGCAACCGAGAACCCTGAGTTCAAGTCGTTCAAGGTCACTGCAACTGGTGGCTGGGGCCAGAGACTTTGGACATATGGCGATATTTATGGTTGTTCGCTGTCGTCGCAAACTGGATGTCTTACTGCTGAGTCGGCGGGTAAATGTCATAATACGTGGGGAACCAGTCGTACAATCGGGTCTTGGTGGCTGCCACTTTCATGTTAAGCTCTCGAGCTATTGAGGAGGTCAAGGCTAAGGCGCTCATTCAACACAAGCGCAGTATACTAATGCCTAAGGAGCAACATCAACTGTTATCTTCTCACACGTAATTCCTCTACATTCTTCATACTACTTCTTCATACTAGCCCTATTTGTTTAACGCCCAAGACTAGCTATACCAGTGATCTATAGATTAGTTGTAGTTGGCAGCGTTTTTCTATGGCCTAACCCTCTCAGATAATCTAGCATACTTTAAGGCTAATATCCAAAGTATACTTTATAATTATACAGTTTATATCTAGCTATGTTTTGATTCTCTATTTAGTATTAGCTTGTCAGTGCTAGAGCTACCTGATAAGGGGGAGTAGCGGACTAAATACCCACGTTTGTATAAAATGGCTCTCGATGTGCCTATCAGAAGACGCACCGGACGAGTGACGGTCTGCAGGCTGCAGGATGCATGCTAGGTGTCGGCGCGTGACAGCAAATCTAGTGAGTACGCGCAACTTGCGGGGGTTGGTGCTTTTGTAACAACGTTTGGCCTGGGAGAGCTGTCTACGTACTGCTACATTGGCGGCCAATATGCTGAATATGTGAGTTCCGCACCGGCGTGGTCGATGCCTTGGATGCTGATTCTTGCAGTACAGGTCCAGTCGTCCTCATTGTTAGAGAAGCGCTGCTTAGGTTCCTCTCCGAGAAAGGAACTAGGACAGTCAGTATTCAGCTGTTATTTAACTTATTATACAGTAGGTATGCAAAAGTAAGGCTAAAAAAAAAGCTACTACCCTAAAGTTAGAAAAACTAACTTTAAATAGCTATAATAAATTAAATATAAATAATAATAAAAAACTAAAAAATAGATTTACTAACTTTATTTATTAATTATATTAATATTAAGATAAGAATATTGTAATTATATAAAATAAAATAATTAAAAAGATTTATAAATATAATTTTAATATTTTTTTTAAAAAAAGTATAAAATTTAAATAGTATATATATATATATATAATAACTGACGGAGCCCTGTAGCGGCTAAGGCGACACGGGAACAGGAGGCAAGCAGGCTGTCCCCGCCCCGGCCACCGCCCCGTCACCTTATCACCTTGTCGGCCCGACAATCACAATCACACACGACCGCCCCCCCCTTCCCCCTCAAGCCCTCGGCCCTCAACCACTTAATCACTTGGCTACTTGGTTACTTGGTCATGGTCCCCTACTCTAATCGACCTAGCATCACCCCGTCCGTCCCAGCGCCGGCCCAGAGCAGGTTGCTGCCCGGGGACGCTAGTATAGCCTTTCATCTAATTCTAATTTTAATCAAGGAGAGGGGCCTCACCGGCCCCTACTAGGGATAGACACAGAACTAAAGGTGGTAAAGAAGTATAGGTTTTCCTCTAGGGACTCTAGTTTTTCCTATACTATTAAATAGTAGAGGTACTAGACCCTACTAGAGGATGCTTGATGACAACACCGGGCTAGGGGGTCCTTTCCGCCTCGACATTCACTTTGGGATGACCGACCATACTTCACAGCCAAGCTAAGATGGCGCCATCGAGCGAAACCTGACGTGTCGCGTATCCTTTACTTAGCTACATTGTTCGACCACTGTCTTTTCAGAGGAGTCAAAACGAAGAGCTTCTTACTACATCGAGCAACAAAGAGGGACGCCTCGATGCCAACACACTTTTGAGCAGCAAGTTGCGCTTCAAGTGCTTAGCCTTCGGCATGCGTCAAGGACCAGGTTAGAAAAGGCGCTTACATCATCCGACAATTATGACACGGCTCTCCATTTCTCAACGCACGGTTCGAGACCGTCGGGACCGCGTTTCATCGTAAGCGCCAGAATGATATTTCGTGTAGATAATAAAAGAAGATCAGTCCTACCGCGGCCCCACCCTGGCTGAGGCGCTTATAGAGGTTCTCATGATTCGTATCCGAGTTGTTGGTCCCTGTGGAGGCCCCCACAGAACCTAGAGAATATAACATCATTATGCTCCTTCTCTCTTCCTTGACACGAGTGGACTCGGAAAGAGTGAATCATAATGATCGACAGCTAGTGTGCAGCAATTGATGTATTCTCATCAAGTTGCACAGCTATTAGTTCAGCTAAGAGGATATTAGAGTGCTTATATTTTGACTTGGATGCCTAACTCCTATCAGACATAAAGACATTAAGAAAAATCCTCTTCTTTAATAGTCAAGAGGTCGTCTACATTGCGTTTTCAATTGTGCTTGTTATTGCGTGGGGCCCCCTGGGCCTGGAGCGCTAGAATGCGGCTCCCACATTCCGTTTACAGCGACCCTTTCCGCTAAAGCCGCTTAGATAAGACTCTCTCTGGCTGATTCCCATCTATAACTCATTGCTCATCTGTTGCTTCATATTATTTGCCATAGGTATTCACATACATTCATGGTACGAGGGATCAGCTTTACTCAAAAACGGCAGCTACATTGATCCAGGACCTTGTCACGATGATACATAGCAAGGGATATACCCTGGCAAGCCGGCAACTGGGGGGTAAAGACCGCGCATAGAGTCAGAAGCCTGACTTTACCCAGTAGTAATCAACTCAGTATAACAATGTTATTATAATTTTTTCACTAACTCTCCCGTGTATTAGTAGATGAAAGATTATTCTACCTTTATTATAGAATTTTGAAGAATTATCTTCCAGAATAAGTTGATGATTTCATGATTTCTGCAGCCAGTGTCCAGGCTTACCGGTCGCTCTGTTTTGCCCCTGGGGTCTAGGCGCACATTGTATTGTAAGCGACGGCGGCCAGTCGGAACGTCGGACCTTGTTTCCTGTGCAGGGCTTAAAGTAGCCTGATTAAGCCAGCGTGTCAGGGAAGAGAGAGGAGGTAATGACGTTGTATTCTCTAGGTTCCGTGTCGGCCTCCACAGGGCCCAACAAAGCGGGTGGCAACCTGCATGGCATTCAACTTCGTATTGAGTGGACACATAGGGCTAAGATAGTACATAATGATGCTAAAGCCTAGCCTAGCATTGTAACCACATGAAAGCATTCGCCTTTTATTTCGCAATCTCTGAACGTTATAGACGATTATATATGGACTGATATGACGTGATTTTGGCTATGAAATCTTGATGGAGTAAGGCGAAAATAGAGCATGATAATAATTAGCATGCATTCGGGTTTTCACGACGCCTTCGTTTAAGCTTCTCGTGCCATTTTGTGGACAATGTTGTATTGCATTACCTAGCCAGGCTATACAAAGAAGTCTCGGCAATCCCGCATTCTAGGCCCTTAAATAGAATACAGGGTGCATGTGCCATGCTGACCGACAGGGTGACAAAAAAGACCAACGGTATTGCTCAGGAGATTTACTTTCCTTCCAACGGCTATGAAATCTTTCAAACTCAATCTGAGTGTATAAATCAACCTGAAGAAACTTACCATCTCTATTGTTCATTTTTTTTTTTTGATTTATAGCGTGGCGGCATTCGCTTGATAGTTTATCGTGAGTAGAAGGCTATCGGCGGTCTGATTTATCACTCTAATGATAGGTAATTAGACTGGTGTGGAACTTGAACATAGCCGCGAGTCCTATTGCCATGGCTGAGCGTGTAAAGCCAGCTTGTTATATATAGTTGGATGGAATATTATAAGGTAATCGGTTCTTCCGTTGTTGAACTTATTATCGTCAATATCATATTGAACTCTATTGACCTTTTATTAGGCGCTAGTTATAAGAAAGATCATGATGCGAGTAATGTCAGCGCATGGTGCGACGAGTTTAGCAATACAGAAGCCGACTGTCGTCCGTGGTAATTTTATGCCAGATGAGGGCTGAGTAGATAACTAATATCTGGTGTTAAATACCCGTATATAAGACCTTGCACAACCCTTTCACTAATACAAGCTTACAGAAGAGCTCAACTTACAGTTGTACACGGCTTTCATAGCCTTTTCTGTGACGCCATGATTCTTTTTTCAACTTTTGCCCTTGCCGGGGTTGCCATGGCTGCAGCTTCGCCGACCGGAGCAAACACTACAGATCCCAGTGGCGCGCCTAGCGTTATCGCAGCTACAGGAGCTTTTATTCTTGAATGCGATAACAGCCAAAGTCTCGATTCGCTCGTCAAGACTGTCCTAGACCAGGGCGTCGAGATTCGCCACCAATTCAACTCCAAGGTCTTCTACGGCCTGTCAGTGGAGCTGCACAACACCACCATGACTGAGCATGGGATTGGACAAATGCCCGGCGTCACAAAAGTGTGGCCGGTAGAAACAAGAATGCAGCCTCCAGAGCTACCAGCTGTACCGGAAGCTGGCAATCAGCGCCGTGACACCTCTTCAACGTGGAACCACGTCATGACGCAGGTAGACAAGCTACATGCAGCCGGATATACAGGACAAGGGATAAGAATTGCCGTCGTTGATTCTGGCGTAAGTTTTTTTTTATTCCATTTAAATGAGAAGAAGGACAAAACGACACTAGACTAACACGGTTTCCCCAGCTCAACTACACGCATTCAGCCCTTGGCGGATGCTTCGGCAAAGACTGCCGAGTTGTCCTAGGTGACAACTTCTCCAAGGACGGCAAGGACAAGGATCCCATGGACTGCTATGGTCATGGCACGACTGTAGCTGGTATACTTGCCGGCAACGATGCTAATTACGTCGGCGTGGCACCCAATGCGACACTAGCAGCGTATAGGGTGCTTGACTGCAAGGGCTCCATGGTAGAGGACGATCTTGTGGCTGCCTGGATCAAAGCATATGAAGACGGCCCACAAATTATCGTCTCTTCTCTTGGCTGGCCCGGTTCTAGCTGGGCCACGCGTCCAGCAGCGGCTGTCGTTTCGCGCATCGTCGACAACGGCATCCCATGCATCATCGGTCTCGGCAACGACAATGAAGCGAGCCTTTTCTCTGTGATAAACCCTTCCAGCGGCAAGGGCGTGACATCGGTCAACTCGTTTGCCCGGGCTCCGGGTGCCCTAGATGGCCTCGTCAAGAATGCCCCCATGGCTCGCTTCTCAACATACGGCCCGAACTGGGATCTTGACATCAAGCCCACGGTTGGCGCGCCCGGCGACGACGTTCCAGGTATTATCAACGGTGGCGGCTACGGGCCAGTTTCAGGAACGTCCTATGCCGGTCCCCTTGTCGGTGGCATTCTAGCTCTGATAGCCGAAGTGCGGGGCTCTTTTGACCCGGTGTTCCTCAACAGCCTCCTTATGTCCACGGCTGTGCCTCAGGGCGACCCTTACTCAGTTGCACAACAAGGTGGCGGTCTAGTCAGAGCCTGGGACGCCGCTCACGCCACGACACTCGTCGAGCCTGCCAGTCTCGCTTTCAATGATACCCTTCATCGCGCCCAGTCTCTTAGTCTTCGCATCACCAATAATGCTACGACCAAAATGACCTATCATCTTGATACTATCGCCGCGGACACACTATACAGCCTGGGATTCTACTTGAAACTATCACACAATGATCCTGTCAAGGAAACAGCCGTTATCAAGCTCAGCCAGAGTATTGTCGTCCTCGGACCAGGCGAATCGGCTTCCGTGGACATCTCGGCCACAGATCCCATAGGGCTTGATTCTGACCGTCTACCAGTATGGTCCGGTTGGATCTCTATCAACAGCTCTAGCAGCATCAATGGCTCCGACAGTGGTCTGTTGACGGTCCCGTATCTAGGTCTGTCCGGCTCATTAAAGGATCACGCAGTTCTACCCTCAAACGGAGCAAAGCTTTCTGAACTTCCCGGTGCGCATCAACAAGAACATGAGTTCTATGATGGTGAGCCCTTGGAATATCACGTCAACGACGACGGCTCCTTAGGCCTTGGTGTACCGTTATATGTCGAGCCAGTCTTGGGAACTGCTCTTGTGCGAGTGGAGGTTGTCCCAGTATCATTACGTCAGTGGCTGGTTGATCGTCTGCAAACCAAAAACATCAAACTCGACGCCTTCAGTCTCGAGGCGCTTCCCCATACTCAAGTGACACGCAAAACATGGAATGGCCGACTTTCATCGGGTGACTATATCCCCATGGGCAAATACAAGCTCTCTGTGCGTGCCCTAAGGCTCTTTGGTGATGCTGAAACAGAGTCTGACTGGGATCTGTCAGAGACTGTATCGTTTCAAGTCACAAAGGGGCCCGGTGAGAAGCCTTGCGAGATCTATGAATCTGGCAAGACGATTCCCATCAATGCTATATTTGACAGCCATGAGGAATGCGTTCAGGCGCATGGCGACATTATGGTAGATAAACCGTGGATTTCTGCACCTGCTGACACTGGAAGCACCCAGTGCACTGATGAAAATCTCACGGAAAAGGCTTGCGGCACTCTCCGATTCTGCAAAGCGCACGCTGATGCAAAGCTTTCGCAAAATCTCAAGTCGCCTTTCTTTGGGCCAAGACATTGTGTCAGTAGCCACAAGCTGCTACCAGCTATGCCCCTCGACGATTCGAGGATAACTGAGTGCCTGTCAACACATGAGAAAAGCATATGTGGCACGTCACTTTGGTGCAGCTTCCAGGCCAATTCAGCGCAGCCGGAGTTTAAGAGCGCCGAAGAGTGTAAATGGATGCATGGATTAACTAGCTGAATTAGACTTGATGAAGTGTCCGGTTATCAGAGACGATCTGCCACAACTATGACACTAAATACCTTGGGATTATCAAAGTAACTAGAAAGTTCTATAATAAGCACCTAACAGGTCCATCTTTGGCCGCAACAGCAGCTTGAATAGGAAATGCTTGTATTTGCTTTTCCTGGAGAATCTCATGTTCTGATTTCTCTTTCATCTCGGCCTGGCGGTTCATCCAGCTCAGATAAGTTTGCCAGCCAATAGCAATGAGGCCGCTGAACAGAGCGCGGTATTCCAGAGGTACGAGCGAGAGGTTGAAGGCCATGGCGGCAGGCCAAACCTTCCAAGAATTTTGCCAGCTCCGCGGAACAGTATCTTGAAGGCGTTGAATGGTGCCCGCAATGCTCTCGCCCGATAATAGAGCTTGCATGCCGAAGAAGTATGTTGGAAACGCGACTGCAAAAGTAACTTGGTTGAACACCACTTTGGCGGTGATGGACAAGACTTTTGACTTGTAGTTGAAATAGCGAGCCAGTACATAGAACCTGATACACCTGTAAGCCGATCCATCTCCAGTGTATGTGTGAGGGAAAAGAAAAAACAGAATCTTGGTGCTTACCAGCGATATTGTGGGATGGCGAAGAGAGCACCGATGAATGTCGTCCGGGCAGTCCGGACCGGATCGTATTCAGCTCCGTTGATATTCTGGGCGCCGACGTCTGCGGCGATGAAGATGACCATTGCGCTCACGGTTTGCACAACGTATGGCCGCTTCTTCTGGGCCCGCCCAAAAGCAGTAGCCACCCTGGTGAGAGGTCCCATGCGCATCCATATCGAAGTGGGCGCGGCGCTTTTTGCAGCCGTCTCGGCCGCGACGGCCGCATCTGCGGTGTTGGAGCCAACTTTGGACTCTGCTGCCTTTACAGGGGCTTTGGGTTGTTGTGATGTTGAGTTGGCTCGGAGCTGATGCTGCGCATTGCGTCGTGGCGTCAGCCGGCTCGCCAAGCGATGTCGCAGGGGCGTCTGCATCAGAGAGGAGCGCATCGGGTCCAGGGGGGCTGCGCGATGCGATATACAATTTCTAAAGTTCAAATTGTTGTCTGAGGTGAGTTACGGCCACTACCCTGGGCAGCCCAGCCGTCTCGAGAAACAATGCCAGCGTCGTGCAGCGGGTAGACGGGAAGACCCTTTTCCACAATACTATTGTTAGGATTTCGTGATTGCACGCTCGGATATCCGAGCAACCGGTCAGTGATGAGCGATGTCGCAAAAAAAGGCGTGACCCATATTTTGGTAATTGGCGCCCATCGGCTTGAATCGGGTCAGCATTACTTTAAAGCACTCACAGCATTTGTGGAGGTAATTTATCAACTTGTCGTTTTATGATGACTTTTAGGGAAATTTAGATGAAAAGATATGGTTAAACTATCCTGATGGACGCTGACTTTTAGTCGCGGTGCCGCTAGAGACTGGTGGTTCAAGTCACTGCTAAGAGCGTTGCTGAATCACGGAACTTGGAGCTGTGTGGGCTGTCTACAGTGAGTCTGAAGTAATTCCGTTCACGACTCCAAATCCCACCAAAACACCTACTTTTTAAGCTAAAGTTATAATATATTTAGCTAATATACTAATTTTATAATAAATACCTAAAAATTAGAAAGTAATTAAAATATAGAATAAAATTTATTTATATTTTTATATATCTTAATAAACTAAACATTACTTAATTAAGTTAATTAAAGGTAAAAAAGGTGGATTATAACGTCGGCTACCCACTTCTCGGCACTACCCACTTCTCGGCAGGTTATCTAAATCACAACCCACTACGCAGAATGTTTATAGAAAATCTAAATAAGATTTAAATAATATAAAAATACTACTTATAGGTAAATAAATTAATAATTAATTAGCCCTTTAATAGGTTATATAGCATTTAGCTAAAAATACTATTAAGTTACTTATTAAGCTATTAATATATATTTTTAATATTAATAACTTATATAAATAAATTATTAAGATTAGTAATAACTATTTAATATTTTTTTAGCTATAATAGCTTTAATTTTAATTTAAGGTTTAATATCTTATTTTCTATAAATATAATCTAAGTTTATTAGATATTAAATTACTTCTTAATCTTTTACTATATTTAACTAACTAACTACTAGTTAGTTAACTATTAAGTACTATTATAGAATAAGTACTAAAGCTAGTATTTATTTAATAGTGTTTTAACCTCTAGTAAGCCTTCTTTAAGTACTTTTTTTAGCTTAATAGGTGTTAATTATAGTATTATTTTAACTAGATTAAAGAGTAAATTACTTATTAGTAACTAGGCTATATTAACTAGCTAAAGACTAGTCTTTTACTAGCTAATTTAAATATTTTTTTCTATTAATCTAGCTTTTCTAATAATAATATAATATTTAAGAAAAATTTACTTACTAATAGGTAAAGAATTAATATTATTAGGTTATATACTAAGCTTCTTTTAATAGCTAGCTTTAATTAAGCTAAATATAGCTATATTAAGAGGTTAAAGAATATAAGAGCTATAAGCTAGTAGAAATAATATATAAATATTATTTTAATAGTATTTTAATAGGAATTTAGTTATATAATAACTTCTATAGTTATTAAAAATAAGAAGATGTTATTAGCTAGTAAGTAGTCTTATTTAAGGTAAAAAGATTATTTTTAGCTAAAATACTATTACTTTATTATTTATCTAACCTTTTACTATTACCTTAAAGAACTAACCTTTAAAAGAGCCTAATTTATTAGGAAACTACTATTATTAAACGTTCTTTCTATTAAAAAAAACTAGTAACTTTAGCCTCTTCCTAGTTACTAAAATATACTTAAAAATTATACTCTAATAATATTAACTAGACTACTTCTTTAAGGTAATTTACTTTTATAATAACCCTAGTGTTACGAACGCTGCTACATGGATGCGGGGCTGAGCCGGGCTATCTAGATAGGCACGCCCGTAGCCTGGTTAGGAACATAA